TAATGGAATACATTTTAAAAGTAACCTTCCCAACACTGCCTGCCACACTAAACGTGTGTCTGCTCTGTGATATGAGCCACATAGCTGTGGACGGCACTCGCCTCAGTTTGGCTCTGATCTATGTCAAGTTCAAACTTCTTAAGTGAGTATTTCTGTAAAACAGCAAAGATCTGTGTTCCTGCTCTGAGAACAGCAGCTCTGTTAGCCCGAATCATCTAAACATGAGCAGTAATGACAAGTTTACAGCACCTGCAGGCATCTCTCACTCCGATCTCACATACTAACACTGATAAGAGCTTATAAGAAAAACAAACAAGACTGTTTCAAGCAACAAGTCTGTAGTCCTCATTATTTAAGAACGATCATCGTAACCTTTGAGACCGTCCTGCAGCTCCTCGTACCTGCTGATGATTCTGTCCCGGCTCTTCCTGAGGGGCGGGGTTGGCGTCGGCCGCTTGTTGTTGTTCTGACGTGACGTCTGTCGAAGTTGGAGCTCCACCAGCTGACGGTTCTTTAGCAGACGTCTGGCTTTGGCTGTGTGGAGGCCCCCTCGTTTCCAGCAGCACCCTGTTTACGGCACTCATGGCAGCTTCGCGGCACAAAGCCATGAGGTCAGCACCCACGTAGCCCGGGGTGAGTCGGGCCAGCTGCTGGTAATCAAAGTCCTCTGGCAGCGTCAGCTTTCGACATAACGTCCTCAAGATCCTGGGAGAGTAACAAACACGCTGCATGTTCAAACTGTCTACTCGTGAGCGAGAGACCGCTGTGGTAAATAACCAAAACCCAAAAGTGTCAACAAACAGGCACGGTTCTGATCGTCCACCTGCCCAACACTTCGCTTCAGGTCTCAGCGTCCTCTGAGCATCTCACCGCCATCTGTGATGGATATGTTATTCAAATCACGACCCTTTCCTTCAGTGTCACCTCATCTTTCTTCTGACATTTAATAAACACTCCTCTTCACCTCCTGAGCTGCAGCAGAACTGCAGTTTGTGGTGTGATTCAGTTCTGCTGATGTTGCACGTATGCTTCCCTGTTTTTTTAGGAAGATACCGGTCAGCATACGCAGCGTGCTTATTAAGGAAACCTCCTTCACATTCCTGCTCTGTTGTCAGCTAATATCAGCCACAGTCAGGCTGCCTGTGATTTGTTCACATCACTGTTAAATCCCTGACACCTCCTCTGTCACGTCTATTTTCTTTTACTTGGAACCCAAAAGTGACCCAATAACAGGGAGAAGCTCGAGTAGGGAAGGTGTTGTTCCTTTAATTTGTCCCCCATTCCCGCCCCTGATGGCCTTTGGCTACCAGTCAAGAAAGTACAAAAGGTAAACTTGAAATGTTGACACGAAGCTGTGTAGCTGACCTGAGACGTGCCGCTTCGTCTGGGATACCCATGCAGATCTCTCTGTCGAAGCGGCCGGCCCTGCGGAGGGCGGGGTCCAGGGAGTCTGGTCTGTTGGTGGCGCCGATGACCAGGAGCTGAGCCGGAACTGCCAGACTGTTCACATCTGTCAGGCAAAAAAACGTGATGGCGCTAACGAAGCCCGAGGTGTGGTGTTAATGAACGTGAGCGTGCCGGCACGACGAGCCTGATAAGTGCTCATGTTTGTGAGTCTGCTTGTATTTCCACGTCATACCATCCATGCAGGTTAGCAGCTGGGCCACAATCCTCCTCTCCATGTCTTTAGAGGCCACCTCTCTTTTAGGGGTGATGGCGTCGATCTCATCTATGAAGAGGATACACGGAGCTGAACTCTGCAAGGCAAGAAGAGAAATACACTCGCTTTATATTGTTACAGTCATGCCATAGGTCTCATGCTTATTTTAACTGTAACCACATTCAAAGAGGACTTTCTCTGAGTCTTAGCCTGTGAGCCTGCAGCTCCATGAAACCAGCAGCTAAACTTAGAGCGTTGCTGCAGCTTTGAGGTTACGTTTGACTACCTGCCCGTCCATCACCAGCACGCTGCTAAAACAACGCGCGGGCTCAGGAGCGAGACGGACACTTCTGGAACGATTGGAGGTAAAAGTGGAAAAAAAAGCAGTATTAACCACAGCGAGGTCGAACAGCTCCCGGAGCTTCTGCTCAGACTCCCCCGACACTCCAGACACCAGCTCTGGAGCAGAAACCTTCAACATGGGCAGCTGCATCTCCTGAAAC